AATTGATGTGATGGCATTACAACTATCAAACTTAAATTGTGATTTTTGTATTGGAAGATTTTGAGGTGTATTGACTTAAAGTATGTATCTGTTAGCAGAATAATGTTCTTAACTCTTATTATGGTGGTATATAGTTAATAAATATTAATTCTCTTTAAACAAAGTTTCGATCTCCCCAGACAGTCACTGTCATGTCTTAAAGTGTATTTGCTTCATGAGGTGTTGCAGTTTCTCTAGAAATTTTTTTTTTCCTGAATGAACTAATTTCAGGATGTAAAAGCTTTTTTTTCAGAATTATTTTTTAGGAATCCAGAAAAATGGTGGAAATATGGTTGGAAAAAAAAGTTAAATCTTTCCTTTCTATGATTGATTTCACAGTTGGTTGATACACTGTGTTCGTATCTGTATGCAGCTCCCTTCTGCATATGTTGACAATAATGGTTGTTAAATGGTGAGATGTATGTCTTTTTAAAAGTACAGTAAGTTTCTTTAGTAAGTTTTATATTCCCTGTTTCCTCAGGTTATTAAGCTATTAGAGATGGTGCCTCTGTACTGTGCAGTTTTTAGAGTTCCTATTTTGGTGTTTCTTGACATTTGATCTGTTTACCTGTGTTCCTTCTGGAAATCTTGGATGTCACCTGCTTACTCAATTTCTGCTCTACAGGCAGAACTGTGCGATTTGCTTTTTGCCAGGTCAAGGGGGAAGCTCAAAATAATACTGCTGCATTAAGAATTTAATACTTCATTCTACGTCAGATATGTAAGTGTTAGAGAAGTTTCAGAGAAAAGGAAGTTTGGCCACCTTTTAGCATTCAGAAAAAAATCACTGATATGCCATATATGTAAAACACTTATTTTTACAATAAMAATATTGAGTTTGATGAAAATATTGAGTATCTTGTACAACCCATTATGATTAATCGCTTCATTAGTTTACATTTTGTTGAAAACTAGAGGTATGTGTCAAAGCTCTGTAAATGGTACTGTTAAAGGAAATTCTAGATATCTAAGTATGGCATTTAGAAAGCAAGGCCTGTAAAGAGATGTTTTGGACAGATTTCTCCAACACTTAGCTTTGGGTTTATAAAGAGCTGAGAGCAGAGGGGTTAGAAGGGGTGAATATGACTGCAAGCCTAGAGTTACAGTTCATTTTGACTAGGTTTTGCAGTGTTTCTAGGTRAATAAGATCAGGCCACAAGGACAGATGCCAAAACATGTAATGTGGAGAAATCAGTGACTCAGTATRAACTCGATGGATGCAGGGACATAACTGCACAAGCATCCTTGTGAAATGCAGGTTGAGCACAAACTGCAAACTGTCTCTACTAACAGTACAGACATCCAGCCACTCAATAGCCAATCAGATAAAAGGAACAAAGAGGATTAGTTGTTTCAGAGTTCTAACAATCACAAGTAAGTTAAAAATACTCTTTGTTCTTCTAATAATGAGTAGAAAGAAGCATGAGTGTGATGGATTAAAATCATAGTCTTCAGGGCTGACAGGCTTCAGTAGAGGTGCAGGTAATATTGAAAACAATATGCATAATTGTCCTATGAGCTATAAGGGTTAATCTGCTTTTACCAAATGTTTTATGTACCTATTATTTAGCAGATCTGGGTGAGTCCTGTGCCTATCTCCTAAATAACGCTATTTTGCAAAAAACAATCAGGACTGCTTGTTTGAAATCTGTAATACCATTCTCTCCTATCTGTTTATTAAATAAATTTCTAAGTAATGCTGCTGTGAATGGAGGTGAATCAAGAAGAATTTCTGCACAGGTGGATAGTACATTGCCTAATCCTGAAGTAGGATTAGGTTTCCCCTCTACTCAGCCCTGGTGACGCCGCAGCTGGAGTATTGGGTGCAGTTTTGGGCTCTCCAGTATGAGGGATGTGGAGGTTCTGGAGAGAGTCCAGTGGAGGGCAACAAAGATGATTAAGGGAATGGAGCATCTCTCATATGAGAAGAGACTGAGTGAGTTGGGCCTGTTTAGCCTGGAGAAGAGAAGGCTGAGAGGGGATCTGATGAACATGTATAAGTTCATGAAGGGGCAATGCAGGGAGGAAGGGGCCAAGCTCTTCTCCGTGGTAGCCAGTGACAGTTCGCGGGGAAATGGGTCTAAGTTGCAACACAGGAATTTTCATCTCCATGTGAGGAAGAACTTCTTTCCTGTGCGGGTGACAGAGCCCTGGAACAGGCTGCCGAGGGAGGCTGTGGAGTCTCCTTCTCTGGAGATCTTCCAAACCCACCTGGATGCTGCCCTGTGCCCCGTGCTCTGGGTGTCCCTGCTGGAGCAGGGGGGCTGGACTAGATGATTTCTGGAGGTCCCTTCCAACCTCAGCCATTCTGTGATTCTGGAATTCCTCCAGAAGGAAGCTGGTAGCGGGATCAGCATAGTCTTTCACTGTTGCATTTCTGTCTTACTCTGTATCAACTCCTAGTATCCTGAGAATGTGTCTTCACGGGACCTTGAAAATGGGTTTATAAAGAGCTGGGAGCAGAGGGGTTAGAAGGGGTGAATATGACTGCAAGCCTAGAGTTACAGTTCATTTTGACTAGGTTTTGCAGTGTTTCTAGGTGAATAAGATCAGGCCACAAGGACAGATGCCAAAACATGTAATGTGGAGAAATCAGTGACTCWGTATGAACTCGATGGATGCAGGGACATAACTGCAACGTAAAATTAGTCTGCAGTGGTTGATGTGCCTCAGCTCACTAGCAGTTTTGGCTCTCCATTCCTGTTTTTGCAGGGTAGAAAGGCTTAGAGAAGTCTGCGCTCAGTGCAGTGCAGAGACACAAGGGTGGAGTATGTAGTCCCTGAAGCCTGTTGGGATTAGATGTAGGGAAGGGGATAGGCCAGATTTAACCACCTGTTTCAACTGTGCTTCATGGCAGAGTTGCAAAGGTTCACTATGTTAGAGTATTTGCAGTTTGAAAATCTTCAGCTCCTTTGCTGTGCTCAGCTATTGAGCAAATATTATTTTAAGACACTTAAAAAAGTCCTGAACTTGGGATGAGTCAAGGGATCTTTGGTAGCTGAGAGAGCAGAGGTGTCGAGAGATCTTTTGGTAGCTGAGAGAGCAGAAGTCTTTCCTTGAAGCTGCATTCTTCCTCATGGATGCCTTCTGTAACCTTTCCTACTTCTGACTTGAAAACAGATTTTGAAGAAACATGTGAATGGCTCTTTGCTATATAGATCAAAGAATTCCTCAAGAATTTTGATCTGTGTTTGAGTCTTACAGCAGGAGCAAAATTATTGTCAGTTCTGTCTCCTGTTAATCAGGTCTTCTGCTGGAATGCAGTGGATGGTTTCTGCCTAAAGGAAAAAGTTTCAGCTGCTACACTATTTCTGCAGTTTGTATATTTTTTGTTTTATAAAGTGGTTTTCTGATGAGTCTTTTTTTAAAGAATCTAAACAAATCATAACCTAGCATTTACCTTAAAATCTTGAGAATACGTTTTTTTAACAGTAGGGATGGAAGCACATCAGTTTCCCTGTTTCTCTTTTGAAGTTGACTTTATATTAACTTCCCAAGTTTTAGGCACAAATTAACCAAGATGGATATCTGAAGTAATTTTGGCTATGGTACAGACTTGACCACAATAATCCCTGTCTTGTTGGTCTTTCTTCAGTTGGGGCATATCCTAGAAGATTGTTTGGAAACTTTGACTTTATAAGCAGTTAGAGTTTAGTGTCTGGCAATGTAACTTAAATTTAACATAATGTAGTGGGAAAAACAGACATGTAGTTGGAATTGATGCTTGTCTGTTTTTTTTTTTTTTGAAATGGACATGCATAGAAAGACCACAGGCCATGGTAGGTAAGATGACTATGATGAAAGTATAAGGGAGGATGTAGAATAGTGCTGTTTTTTTTTTTTTTTTTTTTTCCATATCGTTGTCTTAAAATGGAAGCTGGGTGTCCATCAGAAAATAGGCAGACTGAGATACTAATTTTGACAAAAAAAAGTAGACTTGTGAGTTCTAATTCCTGTTATCAACAAGAACGTATCCAAAACAATGTTTGACAAACAGGATCTAGCATCAGTTAAGTACAGAAAGGTAAAAGGGCCAGCCTGTAACACCTGATTTAAAACTTTTGAGTTAGATCTTAATAAGAATATGAAACCTTTTCCTAAATGAACTATATTTAGGTTCTTATGGTAGGGAAGTATAGAAGAATTTCCTGATAAGTTACATACCTTATGTTTAGCCCTAACAGGTCCATTTTTATGAAACAGGAGAAAATACACACTAAATTCAATTGGGAATCTTGCACATCTTTAGAGAATGGTTAGAGAACAAGAAAAACATTTATCCTTTTCAGTATTTAGCTAATGTTATTTTTGCCTCTTTTGTTCCTAGATGTTCATGACAGCAAATTTGTGTGCAATATATTACAATTTTAAAAGCATATTTTAATAGTGACCTCTGGTTATACTGTGCTTTATAAAGAAGCAGAATTACATGTTCATGAAGAAATAGACTAAAGTGTAATTTCAAGTTTTAGCTTTTGGGGACGGTAAAAAGAAGTATTGTATGAAATGTCTCCAAAAATTAATTTCCATAAGTGAAAGATGCTAGTATATCCACATGCATTTTAGAGAGTTTGTGTTCTTTATTTACTAGTAGATCATAATATGAAAAATAGATAATGATTCGACTTTGTGACACAGTTGGGAAAATCAAAGTAATTGTATCATAAGAAATATTGCCTTAAATTCTCATGTTCATAAACTATTTTAGTTTGGGCAAGAAATGTAACTGAGAAGAATATACCTGGTCAAAATCTGGTGACTGTTTTCATTGTTACTGTTTTTTCCAGAGTAAAATTCTATGTTGTAATTTCCTTGAAATCTGTGGAAAACAGATGTGATCGGTTTGGCCTTGTCTCAAAGTAGACTTTAACATTTTGGCACACACTACTGTTTTACTTCTGCRAAGGTATTTCTTGTACTGTATACCACTTACTAATATATATGTGAAATGTCATCTGCAGGTGCTGACCTTAAGGAAAGAGCAAAAATGCACTCAAGTGAAGTTAGTTCTTTTGTCTCAAAAGCAAGAGCAACTATTAACGAACTGGGTAAGTATCCTCTTCTTTGACTAACGCATTGTTTAACAGTAACCTGGAAGGGTCAGATTAAAGGAGTAGTATAAACTTGTGTGAATGTTTCTTGACAGATAAATGGATATGCACCACAGTTGATATTGATAAGACAAATACGAATCATTATACATTACATATTTTTGTATGCCCAGTAGTTTGASTTTTTAAGAATTAAATTAAAAATCATTTAAGATTTTTTAAAGAATTTTTTAAAAAGTCATGTTTCAATGTTTCATCTGAATAGACGTGATTTATACTCCCTTCTTTCTGAAGGAAAGATTATTTACTAAGAAGTTTGGAAAGTAGAGCCTTGCACTAGTACCAGAAAACCTCTGCAACCAGTTTATTAATTTCTGATATATACTGTTGATAATGAGAACAAATATAAATTCCTGTAAGGTAATTTTGGATATTACATAACACTGCATTTAACCCAAATGTAGATGTGGAATATGAGGTTTTTTTTTTTTTTTTTTTTTTTAACTTACAAAGAATAATGTAGTGATACTGAAAAAAACAGTTGTAAGAAATAAATTGTTTCTGAAAGATTTTATCATAGAATCCTTAAGGTTGGAAGGGATCTCCAGAGGTCATCTAGTCCAACCCACCCTGCTTACGCAGGGTCACCTAAAGCCTGTGGCACAGGGCTGCATCCAGGCAGGTTTGGAAGATCTCCAGAGAAGGAGACTCCACAACCTCTCTGGCAGCCTGTGCCAGGGCTCTGGCATCCTCACTGTGAAGAATCTTTTCCTTAAGCTCATGTGGAACTTCTAGTACTTCAGTTTGAAGCCATTTCCTCTAGTCCTGTCACTGGCCACCACTGAAAAGAGGCCGCCCCCTCCTCCTCACTSCCTCCCTTGAGGTATTTATAGACACTGATCAGGTCCCCCCTCAGCCTCCTCTTCTCCAGGCTGAACAGGCCCAGCTCTCTCAGCCTTTGCTCATAGGGCAGATGTTCCAGGCCCCTGATCATCCTCGTAGCCCTGCGCTGGACTCTCCAGTAACTCCACAATTTCCTTCCTAATATTGGTTCAGTTTCATATCTGTCTTCAACCTAATATTGGAAATGGATGGAAAACAATAGGTTATGGCAGGTAAATGGCAAGAATACTGAAGAGAGTGACTTTAATTTGGAAGTTCATGGAGGTATTTGAGTTCTTGAATTAATATCGTCTTTGATGCGAAGCATATCCGCAAGGCTCTTAAAAAGAAAAGAATCAATTAAATATCCAGTAATGAATAGGCCATTACTTTCCTTCAGAAGATATTGTATTTCTTGCTGTAGTTAGTTCTGTCATTGGAATGCAAAGCAAGAGGCAACAAGTTCTTGCATTCAGTGAGGTGTGCCTTTCGGGGGACAGGGGGAAGAAGGGAGCTGGGGGGAGAATTCCTCAGCTCTAAATGCTATTTTTTCAGCCTTCCTTGTACCTTGTATCTTATACCGATGTTGCTGAGAGTATTTGCTGTGCCTTTTTTTCTTAAAGTTTAAATGGTAGCTATAGTGGCTAYTAATCACTATTAAGATTTTGTCTTTATTGGAGTTAAGAATGTCTGTTCATTTTCGTTTTAAGTAGCAAAATTTTTAAAACATCAAAAAAATAGTTAGATTCTGCATTCTTCACCAAATGACTATAAAGTATAAGCAGGAATTTCATGCTTTAATTTGCTTTAATATAGCTAAAAGACTGTATGGCAAATGTTTGACTCTCTTCAACTGAATTTTCTTTTCTGTGAAACTGTTTAAATACTGAGTATGCAAGCAAATTTCCAGGGAGAGTGGATCATTACACTGACAGTGAATTGCATGAAGTTTAGGAGACCAGAAGTGGTACTCAGGAGTGCTTTCATTCATCTGTCTCCATTCTTTTCCTCAAAAAGGAGCAGGAAATTGTGAGTAAGTGAAATTGCATATTTGAGAATGTAAATCACTGAAATAGCTAGGAAAGTTTGTGAGGGTATGTAGTAGCTGATCAGGCAAGCTATGAACTTGGAAAGAGAAAAAAGGAATTTAAACGTAGTCATTGCTCAATGTGTTAATAGGACTTTTGCTTAGTTTGAGTACAGGACTCCTTTTTTTGACATTTCAGCTTTCTTTAAAAGGGGGAGGCAAGCCAGTGTTTTTCATTATTAGTGTGATGCCTCGGCATTATTACCATTGGCCTCCTACTTCAGTATTTTTGCATGCCATCTAATGACAATTGGTTTTTCAGATTTAGAGAAGAATATTGAGACATTTTTTGCTCATGCTCTTTTTCAGTTTTCATAGAATATATGTAGTAGATGTATTTTAAAACCTGAACATGAGATTGATATATGTATGGTATGATGCTATATGATGATGCCCTGATGAAGTGATTTTTTTTATTTTATGTTTTTTTTTAGTAAGTCAGAGGCTCTCAGTTCTTCTTTCCTTCTTCTGAAGAAGTAGTCTGGCAGTGAAAAATGTAGCTTCAATAGAACTAGTGAGACATTGTAATTGCATTGTATGACTAGCAGTGAATCAGTATATTGAAAATAAGCACATGAAGGTATTTTTCTTGCCCAGCAACAGTCAGAATCTTATGAGATCGTTAAAGAGGGAAAAGAATGCTCTAATGATTATTTGGCACTGCACAAATGCTTTACAGCTAGGGAACAATATTTTCAATTTCCCACTTTGTTCTTTTTCTATCCAGTTTAATGCTGTAATCTCATTTAAAATGTGTTCTACTTTTTGCTCTTCAGAAGTAGGTCATGTTTTGATAAGTCAGTTTGTGTTAAACTGTTTGAGACTTCTTTTTAATGGTGTTTTCAAAAAGAAAAACACTATTTTCTCTGTAGATGAAATGTTTGAGAGGTTACTTACATCTTGATTAACTGGGTAAACTTGGATTTTTAGAATTGACATGTCTTTGCTTTCTTTGCTTCCTTTCAATTTCATGATGTTTGAAGTCCTTACATTAGTGGTTTTCTAAAAGGCTGTAGTATCATTTTGGAATACAACTTGAGAGCAAAATTTTCTAGAAATTAAAAGCATGCTGCACATGTTTGTTACATGTACTTGTATTTTTATGAGATTAATTTATAACTTCTTGCTAAATTTGGTTGAAGTATTAAGACTGCAGTAAATATCACTGAGTGTAAAAATAAACACTTGGAAAAAAAAGCAGGAAAAATGTACTGAGCTATTAGTTGCAGCTTCTAAGAGCCTTAAGTTGAGGGGGAAAAATCAAAACAGATACTATTTTTAGCAGTGATTGCTTTTGCTTGCTGCTGCTAAAATTGTCTCGGCGTTATGTGGGTTGTCTTTTTTCCTTTTTTTTCCTGCTCCTTCAGAGTCAGAATATGTCCATTAGTATATTTTACCTTAGGGTTCTTCATTACTGATGTAAGGCTGCTTTTACACTCAAGAAAAATGATAGAGAAAAACATTGATAGGTCTCTTCAAACCACATGCAACAAAACAAGCCTTCTGACAAAATGAAGGCAAGTCTTACATGCTCTCAGAAATCCCATTTTTTTAAACATTTGAGGGAGAAATGCCATCACTGTGGGTCACATCGTCAACATTTGTTTTATGGTGTCTTTCCCAATTAAATCCATGCTCTTTTGTCTCTCTCTCTCTTTTTTTTTTTTTTTTTTTTTCTCCCTAGTTGTGGGTCTGGACTGTAACGCTGCTATAATATGTACATTTTCAGCTGCAAAACAAATGGAGGCTACAGAAGGAACAGAATGCAATAAGCATGCTTACTACCTTTATTTTCCTAAACAACCTGTTTAACACAGGGAAAAGTATGAAATTACAGAAAGAATTTGGCCTAGGCAGATCTTAGTAATTGCCCAAGGTGAAGTTTGACCCCAACCTGTAATATGTGAGAAACAKCATTGGTTCCTGAAGCTCTTCCAAAGAACATAAAAGGCATTAAATGTCTAAATCCCACTGAACAACAGTAAGAAATGGAGATAAGTTTTCTTCTCTGCTTTTGAAAGTCCCTGAAGCATGGGATAATGAAGAAAACTAAAGCATGGTTAAGTTCAATTTTGTATCTCTCATTGGAAGGCTAAGCAGCTTTCTAGTGGCCTGAGGAAAACTAGAGCTGAGTTAAAAAAGGTGATTTTTCTACTAAAATACTAAGCAGAAATATTACTACTGAGCAGAAATAACTTTTTTTTCCCTTTTTTATTGGCTATGTTCCACTTGAACAAAACTTATATTGCGTCACTTTTATGACACTTGTTTAGTTTGCAAGCATAAGTTGTGATAAGACGTAAAAACGTTAATACTTAGTTACTTTCTTAGACATAACCTTCACAGGTATGATTATTTTTAACATGACCAACTTGAATGTGACTCTGCTGAGTAAAAACAGCTTACATTCAGTTACTTGCATTTTGTTTCATTAACAATGATGACTTTTTTTATTGGGGTGAGCTTTTCTTCTAATTCAAAGTAGCTCCAAATCTATAGAGACGATAAATATGCACACGCACATATACACATACTCATATATATAACACATATACATACTACACACACTTATACATATACATACACACACATACACACACACATTTCAAAATCAGGGAAGAAAAATGGTTAAGGTCTAATTCAGTGCCTTATCTWAGTATTTGAGCTTTAGGGGCTCCTGTGGAGCACTGTGGCTGTCTTCTCCAGCATAAATTTCTTTTGTCCTCTGGTAAAGGTAAGCCAAAAACCAATACAGGTCATATATGGTGAAAGAATGTTACCTCACTTAATAAATTGAATGTAAAATTTGATTCTTAAAATTTAGAATATTGATTTTTTGCTATGATCAATATTCTATGCAAATTCTAATGTCTGAATTTCAYTTTCTTCTACTCTCCAAAGGATACATTGATAATTTCTGCCTTTATTTTGAGGATTATTTACTGTTTTGATATTGCTTTAAGGATTCTCTTGAGTTTTTATAGTATGATTGATATTGCATAAAAATGTGCATGTTAGAAAAGTCTTA